AATCAATGAGTAACGTAAATAAATACACTCTAACTATATCCTTCAATAAAAATCTTTGCGCATATACAATTCATGCAATATAATAATAAAATAATAGCTTTATACTTACTTTGGCGAAAAGGTTCCCATTATTTATATTAAAATTAAACACTTTTTAAAATTATCCTTTCGTACACAACAATAAACATTGATGTCAAACTTGACAGAATGTATCAAATGACATTGTTTTTATCAATGTTGTTATAAAAAATATTCCAAAAAATTAGGTCAAAATAGGTTAAAAAGGTAACCCCATTAACAATGACGAACTATTTTTTAAAATGAAGCAAGCTAACAAGTTAAAGACTTAAAGTTCATACTGTGTCAAATAAGAATAGTTACGAAGATGTGAAAAACCACCTTAGTGCCGGAGTGAGTCGAAATTATTGAAGATTTTTTACCATCTCCGGCCAACGAGATTGCCAACGTTTATTACTGTACTTATATCGTTTTTAAAAATGAGGTTGGTGGCCCTTCTACCACCTAAAACTAAGGACGTAAATTGAAAAAAAAAAAATGGGGTGGAGCACCATCACTTAGTGGTATAACAACAGTAGCTAATATAAACGTCAATACCACAGATTATCACACAATCTCAATTGACTGATCTCGTTACAACCAGCGAAACTAGATGCCTAGGAATCCTAGGTCTCTATAGGGTAACCATCTTTGTTATTTTCACTGGACTGACCCAGATTATTCTTTGACCTTATTGTGACGGTAATAACCAACTGTGAAAATGCAAATTTTATAGGCGGCTTTTAAGCAGAGAGTTTAAGTATTACCTGAAATGTAATTAGTTATATTATTTATACCTTGTATCTCTCATACGTAACGTAACTATTGATAATGATTGGTAAAATGGTGCGCTTTTATTGTAGAAGCCAGGGCGAAGGTTGCAGGAACGTGGAATTTTTAATTTAAATTAACAAATAATATCACGTTTATTTGTTATTATTTGACGCGGGGTCGTAATGTGATACGCACATATTACAGTTATTCTGATTTTATCCGATACATTTCGTATAGGGAATTCATTCGTTAACGTTGTTGAAGCGGTAAGTGGTTGTTAAATTTTTTGTCCTTGTTTTAGTTTTGTTAGTACAGGATCGCGCTGGTGGATACGTATCTGTTGTTTTTATTAATTCTAAATTAATGTTAAGGGAGTATGCAATGGATTAGCGATCCTAAAAAAAATAAGAAGTTACTTGTAATTAATTTTTGTATAATTGATTTGCTATTGAATATGTCTAACAAATAAAAAAATATTTTTGCGTTTAAAAGTATATCTACCGAGAAAAGATTCAGGCTATAATATAACAAAGATTCAGCATAGAACATGTAGTTTACTGTAGGATATTTTGTTTTTGTTATAATAGGTGTCGCTACTATCGTTAGAATTATTATGCATATCACTGATTTTCGTGCGTCTGGCAACTGAATTTCACAACTTTTTTTTTTTGAGTTCCACTGCATATTCAATATTATTCACTCAAACTCAGACAAAATACAAGAAAATTACGTTGGGACACGTTTTTTTAGGCCTAGAAATTATGGTCACCATACTACGGTAACTGGAGCTAGGTAACTCTAGTTGTAACGTTTAGCTTCAGCGATTATGTGTAACAGCGAGCGAATGAGAATTGTTTGCTATTCAATATTATATGCGGTTTGTCTTCGACGATAATAGGATTGCGTAAGATGCATTGTTATGACTGATGATGACCAGTTAAGACTCGTGGCGAGTAGAACTAATTAGAGATTTTTTTTTCTCATATTGACGTTTTTAATAAAACAAACGAACCTAGCCCCCACACTAGGATTCCCTGTGTCGTGGACAGTGTCTTCCATTTGATATATTAATGATTTTAGGTACTTGATGTAATCGAGACGTTCACTCTGTAAACGCATCCTTATTTCTACCTCCATGTTCATGTGAAGAAATATTTAAAGTTATAAATAATCTTAATAATACAAAGTATTGACTCAATAGCTAGTAGCTACCGAAGTGCTAAAAGTTCCTCACAACAACTAGATCACATCCGTGAAATGCGTACATGGGGAAGGTGATTAAATTTTTAAATGCAAGGTGAATATTTAGACCATAAGCTTGACAACAATTATAAATAACTTAACTTATTATTATGACATTATGAAAATAAATATGATATTTGCATTGCCTATTTTTATATGGCTGATTGTGCGGATTTTTTTTATAATAATTAAATAATTAATTCAACATAACTCTTACAATACATACAATAAAAGAAGAATACATTCGGGTTCAGCATAGAAGTTATATAATAGCTTGAGAGGATGTTGTCTTGAATTGTTAGTGAAAATTTTGTTTTAACGAAAGTGGTTAAAGACTAAAGGAGGAAGAAGAAATAGCGTTGGGCGAAGAGAGTGCGTTTTTTGGGTAGCTTGTACGTAGGTTTGCGCTGTGTAGGATGTGGTGTGGTCGCTGTTTCCAAAGACAGCGGCATATTGCCATTATGTGTAGTTGTTGTATAAGTTGTGTATTGAAAAGGTTTCATATATCTTAAGAATGATTCGGATTCCGCATTGAAGAGATTAGGGTAGACCGTTCATTTTTCTTATTTAGATTTATATTTTTACTAGCTGAACTGGAAAACGTCGTTTTGCCATGTATATCATTTATAATAAAAAATAGGGGTAGATCGTAGAGGGATGAAAATTAGGGCTTGTATGTAATTTTTTAATGCTGTATTAAAAAAAAAAAAAAGTTTTTATCTAAAAATAAATTAAAATATTTAGGGGTGGACTACCCTTAAAATTTAGGGGGATGAAAAATAGATGTTGTCCAATTCTCAGACATACCCAATATGCACACAAAATTTCATGGAATCGGTCAAGCCGTTTCGGAGGAGTTTAACTACAAACACCACGACACGAGAATTTTATATATTAGATTTTAGGCTACTTCATAAATAATAAAATTTATGTTTTCTTACGTCTAAAGCTAATAGTTAACGTAATAGAATAGTAACATTAAATTTTGTAAACTTGAGCCCTCTGAGAGCGAGTGATTTTGGAAATGGCCCGAACAAATATCGTTTGAAAATATTTCTTCTTTAAAATTGTATTAACTATGATGAATTTTGTCATAGACTGAAAACTTATAGGGGAATCTATTGCATCTATTTAAAATATCTATGCAGCATTTTATATTTACAAAATTAACAGCCAGTGATTTTAACTGCATAATTATTACATCCCTATATATGCCGTAACTCATACAGTTCATTAACATCTGGCAAAGATCAAAAAGGATCAAAGTTCACACTCCAAACGTATTCGTTAACCCTAATTCGTTAATGTGTGGTTTAAAAATATTACTTGTAATTGGTATTTTACGATGCATGTTTGAGTTAATCGGAATATTGAAACGGGATGTTTTCCAAGCTAAAACGAAAATTTTGTCAACTATGTAGTATTACAAAGTATAAGGTTGGTTAGGTTTTAAATAAATAAAAATAATCTGTAGCGTTACATCCTCCATTTCAAGAGCCATTCTTGACCATAGATTTCTGCATTTGTTGCATTTTTTCAAAGGCAGTGATAAGCCGGGGATCACGCACGCAGTGATGGGAAGGGAATCAAGATGTCTTGAATTGATTGTAGGAGATACATTCATTTAGGGGGATTTTTAAGGGATAATACAAAATTTTTCCCAAACTAAACCAAATATAAACTCCAGGCGTGGTTATAACTGAAATATTAAAAGGTGCAGCCAAGGTCGAAATTTTATACTACTTGAATGATTTTTTATGCATTTTTGGAAATAGTTCTGAAACCGAGTATACAACCAGTTGAGGGGTTTTTAATCGTTATTTAGGAGTATTTAATGTTAGTCCTAGGGGGAACATTCCGTAGGAGGCATCACTACATCCACGCCCCGATATTTCAGTATAAGATTTCCGTTCTCTACTCGTACAAGTGAGTATTGCACTACTATAGCTGCACAGTAAGAATTCACAAGAATCGAATACACTGACTTTGCTCAAGTCCCCGAAGCTACTTATAATCTGTAGTTATCTTGCTTAAACTAACGTGTTTTTAGAAAATATCATACGTTCTAGATGTCGAAATAATTCTCACTCGTAACGTTCCTAATGATTAAAAATTTTGTAATTCTGTTGCATAATAGAAAAATAATTCATTGTACTGTCGTTAAATGCACGTGGTCGAAGTTTGTTTGTCTTTATTACGTGAATGTAATTAGAACCTTATGTCTATGTATTAAGGTTCATAATTTGATAAAAGTTAATAATTAATTAAGATAATGGTACTTTTGAGTTTAATAATTGGAAAGATAATCTATTTTGATTATATTATGATAAATAGTCAAAGCTGTTATAACGACATCGAAGAGACTACATACTTATATTTGGTCGTAAAAAGCGATAGTCGTAACAGCCGATGACAATGTTATTCAGTACCTCATACAATAAAATTCAACCGGGACCTTTGATTTTGGTCAATATCACCGGTATTTTGTTCTAAACGATGTCGTCGTAAACGGTTTTGACTGTATTTTGTATGCATATAACCCTGTTTATTTGAATTTTTATAAGTATTAATTTCGCTATAAACCACGTTGTTATAAAATATTTTTGAGATGTTTAAAATACGCAAAAACATATTCATTAAGTTCTCGATATTTATTAGTAAACAAATGACAACAAATGCTTACTACGAAGCTAAGAAAGCAATTACAATACCAAAATACAAAGTCCCTTGAGGAATTCAAATCGCGTGACTTTACGTTAAGCTGATTTCTCGGATCCGGTTTCAATATTAAACCCTTGTCATACAGCTTGCTGACAATATTATTTACTTTCTATACATATATCTTATAACCTATTTATTTTGTTAGTTTTGTAACAAGACATTTGAGACTTAGCCAACTTATGAAATAACATTAAATAGCTGGCACTATGATAGCAATGATAAAATTTAGTATACTTAGTAATTCCGGCGGCGCAACAACCAAAAGTGATACTTGGCCGACAACGAGACAAAAGAACACCACCTTCAACGATTTTGATTCTGCTTTCCAATTGACCACTTGGAGCTCGCGCAGGGCCCAGTGGGTCAGCGACATCTGGGCCGGTCCACGGTTCATTGTTTTATGCAGATATGCTTTCTTGACACTCCGATTCTCTCCCATTGTCTTTAAGTAACTAGTTCAGCGGAGTCTATTGGTTTTGGCTTCCCCTATGACGTTTGTAGATTGATGCATTCAAGCCGATGAAAACGGACAGTAGCAACAATAGTTTTGAAATTTAATTGAATAATCTGTAAAAAACCTGGGTTTAAAAAAGCATTTTTTAAATTATTTGTAAATATAGGTTAATTTATTATCTAATATATATAAAATTCTCGTGTCACAATTTTCGTTGCCATACTCCTCCAAAACGGCTCGACCGATTCTCATGAAATTTTTTGTGCATATTGGGTATGTCTGAGAATCGGACAACATCTATTTTTTTCATCCCCCTAAATGTTAAGGGTAGTCCACCCCTAAATATTTTTTTTTATTTTTAGATATTTTTTTCTGTTTTTATTTTTTTATTTTTTTATGATACAGCATTAAAAAATACATACAAACCCCTAACTTTCACCCCTCTACGATCAACCCCTATTTTTTTATTATAAATGATATGTATGGCAAAACGACGTTTGCCCGGTCAGCTAGTTAATACATAAAAATCAATATTTTATATATTGATTTTTATACGACGTCACGTGACACAAAACGGTCACGGATTAGTGAGGGATTAGGAGACTTCTTTTGTCTAATCCTAACAGTATCTTGGAGTTTAATGGTCTGAGACTATTTTATCAAAACATATGTATTTGTGTAATTTAAGAATGATAATAACACGTAAAAACTTGACGTTTTCTGAATTTGTTTCATGATCATTTTTCAATCTAATAGGCAAGTAGGTGATCACCCTCCTGTGCCTGAAACACGCCATCGACTTTTTGGGTCTAAGACATGTCGGTTTCCTCACGATGTTTTCCTTCACCGTTCGAGTGAATGTCAAATGCGCACATAGAAAGAAAGTCCATTGGTGCACAGCCTCAACCTCAGGGATGAGAGTCGCACGCTGAAGCCACTAGGCCAACAATCACTCCATAAATATTTAATGGTTTTAAATACTTTGTCGAACAGATTTGCCTCGCAATTGTATATTATCGCTATCTATAGAACGTGTTCTTCGTCCCTTCCTTACGCTGGCTTCCAGCGAATCTATTTTTGCAGTTCAGGTTTCGCGAACTCCGATAAATATCCCTTCGCTTAGTTTGCACTTTTTTACTTGACTATTAAGAGAATGTGTTTTGAATCAATATTAATTATGGGTGTGTGTGTTGGCCTAGTGGTTAAACGATTCTCAACACTGCGATCGGGCGTTCGATTTGTATAATTCCGATTATTCTTTTTCTTAAATAGTAGGTACTGAAGAAAATACCTAGTTATAATTGCTGAACAATGATAAAAAAGAAATACTTATAATAAACTAATACAAGAAAACGCTGTTCGATAGTTTGGCTAAGTTAGTAAAAGGTATAACAGTGTTCACAAATACAATTGCTTAGATATATTTAGCCACAGGTGAAGTAAAAGCTATAAATCATGCCGGCTGCGTCTGCGCACCGGAAAGTGTCGCGTCGCTCTCGATATAGTTCTGATATTACATACAAACGTATAGTGGAATTTCGTGTTTCTTAATTAGCATTTATTAAATAAAAACCGAAACATTTATAATCTTCACAAGTTCTTTTTAGATCGGCACGAATAAAAGAAACACACTGTCTTTAGTTTATGCTTTTATAATGTTTTAACCATGGAATTTCGTTTACTTACTAGGACGTATGTCTATGTGAGATACTAATCACTCCAGGCACTCTGAATCTTTTGTAGTAGTGTTTTGTCTGGATACATGTAATAGTGTGACATGTATCCAGTTGACAGAAAAGTTTGTTATAGTCAAGAATCAAACGTGAAAAGTAACTTATTTATATATTTGGCAGTGTATTGATCGACAGCTTTTTTGAAAGATAATATTTACAATTTTTAAATAGTAATAATAAAATATAGCCAAACTGATTACACCATTTAGACGAAGAACATTATGTTCTAACTAATTAACCTACTAATAATAATTTATTAGTTGAGGTGCGTGTGGAAATGTGTAATGTGTGGGGGTGTGTTAGTGTGTGAGTGTGGGTTTTAATGTGATCTATAGATAATATGGAATAAGTCAAGGCTAGCGTACTCCTTATTATATAGATTTAAAATACGTGTTACAAGTGTATTATTTCGAGCATAGCTTATACCAAGATATGAAACAACTCAGTATGACAAGTTATTTTTGGATACGTTACAAACCTTTCAACCCTCAATGAGAAGGGGACTACAATATCTTAAATATAATTTATAACGAGTAAGATAGAACCCGAGCGGTAGCGGGAAATTGCATTATTTGATTACTATGAAGAATGCAGGCCCTTTGCAATTGATAGATTAACAACACAATAGGGAATTGACCTAATATAGATAAGGGTCAACGTTTACATAAATTGCTATATCAGTGGATATACTCAATAACATAATTATAATTTAACTTAATATTATGTATGCTATATTTTTGGTCACCTTTCTAACAAAGGACAAAAATCTGGTGAGAATGTATAACACAACAAGTGGCGCTACAATCTGTTCTTCGCCGCGGATTTGCGTCTCTTTCATGATGTTGGTTTTTAATATTCAAGTGGTTCAGCTTTATGTGCCTGACACAAGTCGACTTTTGGGTCTAAGGTATGCTACGGTTTCCTCACCATGTTTGCTAGCCTTGTTAAGCCTCAGGCCAGTCACTGCTCTTTTAGAGCGAGATGTATAACCACGGAAGATACGTTAAATAAAGTTCCCCCTTTCAGTTATTTATAGCGGAAAGTTTAGTATCATAGCTTAAATAACTGTATGACGAATTAAGGATAAGAAGTAGAAGTAAGTGCTATTCACTTATTTACCAATAGTTTGATTACTGGCTTAAATAAACAATCTGTAATCAGTTAACATCACATGTCCATTAAATACATTATTCAAAAATTTGCATTGGCAAGTAAAAATGGTAATAAGGATTTTTTTTTGTTTTACAAATAGTATTACTATGGCTTAAGATATTAACCTTGATCCTGGGTAAAAGTTATCGGTCCTTTAAAATAAATAATAATGTTTGCCGCAAAACAACTTTATTTGAATTTTAATTTAGAGCGTAGAAAACAAAATTTCCGATCAAGGTGCCTGTTTATTTACCCAAGTACTTATTCTACGACTTTCTAACAACGAGAAAAGCCGCGGGCATGACTTGTAATATGAATCATGGGCAAATAGCGTAGACGAACTACAATTAAGTAAGCGGTCTTTGACCTCGTTCCTAGATCTGATTGTAGACACTGCATCACGGGAAGTAGCTATTTTAGTGCGTCTACAATAAATAGTTACTGCAATGGCGTATACGTGGCTCTATAAATACCTATATTATTTACTCTGAAAACCTTTAGAATTGCTTTATTGAAGTGAAACTTCTTTAGGCGCATGAGGGTAAATTTTTTACGGATGAAACGCAATAATAATATTAGCGTCACGAACATGTGCAGCGTTTTTGCCGAAGAAAAGGGAGAGAGCGATTAAGACCGATTGAGAGAGAGTGAGAAAGGGCCAGATTCTATTTTTAAAATTTCGTAGAGAATTTATGAAATACTAGATGACCCCGTGAACTTTGTTTCACCAACATATATTTGTGTCAAAACTTTTAAAACAGACCAAAGAGGTCGGCCCTCATACAGCAGACTACATACTCAGGCTATGTTCACATGTAACGCGCGGTAACGCGCGCGGTCAACGCGGATCAAAATTGAAGAGCGTTCAGATGATGAGCGCTAACGCGCGTTGCGAGAGTGCTCGTAGTCTAGTTCGGTAGAACGTAGAAAATGGACGTGGAAGAGGCTATTATTTTGTGGTTATATTATAAAGAAATTTATAGAAAAAGAAAACGACATGGTTCAATTTTGAAAAAAATACAAATTATTTATATTTTTTATACAAATTTGCTATATTCCAACTTGCTGACCTTTTTTCTACTTCATCGATTAGTAAGTCGATGTCAGTATCTTCAATTTCACTCATTTTAAATGCGAGAACAAAATATAATTACGAAAAATTAACAAAATTACATGCGATCGCGATGAAAGCGCGCGCTCATCTGAACAGCAAACGGACATTACATTAATATCAAAGCGCGGTCAACGTGCGATCACCTGCGTCTAGAGACTTTTTCTCTGAGCGCCGCGTTGACGCGCGTTAACGCGCGCTCATGTGAACAGTTGTATGAAAATACCACAATTTCTAGTCGCGGATTTGAAAACGCGCGTCAAGTTTTGCCATTGAAAAGCCTAATACTACGAAACACATATTTTTGAAAGAATCTACAAATATGTAAATGACAACCAAGTGACAATTTTTAATTTCTAAAAAAGACGTCCAATTCCCCACTAAGAACAGTTTGTATTGGGAAATTCAATTGTCGTTTTTAGTATTTTTCTTTAATTATTATTAGTTTCCTCGTTTAAACCTTCCCTGATCTTCCACAAATATTTTAAGATCATAATTAGCCAAATCGGTCCAGCGTTCTCGAGTTTTAGGAGACTAACGAACAGAATTATTTATATATATAGATTAGTATTTTATATTTTTTTTAATATTTAATTCGTCAATTGAGATTTCATTATTTTGCATATAATATAAATTACTAATATTTCATAAATTCTTTTTACGAAATTTTAATTTTAAAAATAGAATTTCGTATATGTATTTTCAATTTGTATATCTATATTCACAAATATGGGTACTTATAGAAATACATGGAGTGATCATATACTGGTACATGATCATCTATTGGGGCTTTTACCTTAGTAATAATTAATTTACAAAGAAGTTTCACTTCTGGCATGTGTACTTTGTACGCACGCACTTTTTTATTTTTTATATGCATTTTTTAATAAACGAATATCGACAATATATTGCCGGAAAGCATTTTCATTGCATAAGGATTGTTGGCCTAGTGGCTTCAGCGTGCGACCCTCTTCCCTGAGGTCGTTTGAACCCCGGCTGTGCACCAATGGTGAAGGAAATCATCGTGAGTAATGCAATGCATTAAATCCACAAAAAACGGCGTGTGTCAGGCACAGAAGGCATGTCTAAGGCACACTTGTCTATTAAAAAAATTAAATGATCTCGAACAGATACAAGATCTGGGCACTAGACATAAAAGGTTGTAGCGCCATTGTTTGTTTTTTATTTACATTGTGTGCTACTTTACGTGTTTTTGTGTAGCGTCGTTTATTTTATAAACATGGGAAGGTTAAAGCGATACTGTTATAAGATTACCAAAATTTTTAATGCATTGAATATAATTCTTTAATACCAAAATAATTTATGAGAATTTGAAGTGATATGGAAAAAGTTTAGCTTGAACGTATAAATGTGTTTTCATCGCATTTAAAACGTGTATATGTTAACGTAAAATTGTAAATACCGTTAGATTGTAATATATCTCGCGAGATTAAAAACTGTCGAAAGATTGTGAACTCAACGTACTGCTTACAATTTAACGTATTATTATTCGGTAGATTATAATCTATCGAAGTGAAATCGTCAAATTGTGAAACGGTACGCACCTCGCGCGCTGATTGGTCGGCTTTATAGTAGACCGTTATATGTCCATATGTTAATAGAGTTAGGAATGAAACATGAGTATCGGTCAAATAAAATGAATGCTTTTCAAAAATTAGTATTTATTACTTAATAGGTAATCAATAATTCTGACATCACATGATGAAAAAAAAATATATCAAAATAAAAAATTCAGAAACTTAACAATATTTTCTCTTCAAACACAAATTAAAATTTTCTTTTAGAAAAAAAACGATCACAAAATAAAATCAAAATTAAAAAAAAAACAAATCGAAAACATATGAACGTTTTTGAAAACATAACAGAATTGTCTATTATATAAAAAATAAGAAAGTAAATTGCACCAATAAAAATGTTCAATTATTGTTGCACGTCAACGAGTTGTGGCACCTGGAGTTACAAAGAACATTTCAGCTTTCTTTTTATTTTTTTGCAATTACATTTTTACTATTTTCATTATGCCCGCTGTAATAGTTTTGTAACTCTATGGTAAATTCTTCCTTATTAACAATACCTAATATTTCTGAGTTTTGTTGATCGACAGGCTCAATATCCGATATTGTAAATACGAGATCACAAAGGTTCACGCGAATAAAAAATATTAAAACACGGAAAATGTATGTAATTTAGACTATGTTTGGAGACCAACACTAACTTAATTATCATTCAAACTGCACTTCTTTGGTCAATCACAGATTAATTTTACTTCCACAACAATTTCATATAACTTTTCACGTTCACTTTCAACATCCTAAAGCTGTGAGTTACTTTCAAGACGACATCAATTTACATTTACCAAAAACACCGTTTGTTTACATTCGACAACAAACGAATTAACAAACAAATATGGTCGCCACCATGGCATACTCCGTTCCACCAATCAGCGCGTGGCATAATCCGTTCAACCAATCAGCGCGCGAGGTGCGTACCGTTTCACAATTTGACGGTTTCACTTCGATAGATTACAATCTACCGAATAATAATACGTTAAATTGTAAGCAGTACGTTGAGTTCACAATTTTTCGACAGTTTACAATCTCGCGAGATAGATTACAATCTAACGGTTTTTACAATTTTACGTTGACATATATTCCTTTGTGTGTGTTGAGACTTATTATTATATGTTTCAGGGTCGCAACCAACACTCCTCACTTGGTCAGTCTGGGAACTGGAAGACTCAGCACTGCAGTCACTCTTCATCCTATAAAACAAGGTATCATAAAAATTCAGTTTATTTCGGTATTACTGATAACATTGGAAATATTAATAATAAATAAATAAGTCTTTAACAGTACGCTAACACCGTTCTGTGATCTGTCCCATTCCTTTACAGCGTAAACATTATTGATTGTATATCGATATAAGTTCGATAAGTGAGCATTGCCTACTGGCTTCAGAGTGTGACTATTATCTCTGAGGTCGTAGGTTTGAACCTCAGCTGTGTTTCATTGGATTTTCTGTGTGCGCATGTAACACTCGCATGTGAAGAAAATATCGTAAGGAACTCCATACCTTAGACCCAAAAAGTCGACGGCGTGTCATGCAGACAAAACAGATGAACACGAAACAGATGAAGAAAACTGAGTCCTACAATTAAAGTCAACAATTACAGTGTATTGTAATTAGACAGATTTTTTAGGAACTGTCAACTGCCATGGTTGACAGTTTTGTACAAGCAAAGTTAGAATGCGCCATTCAGTGCGTAGCCTTATACAGGGTGTCCTAAAAGTCGACGTCAAGTCGAAATTTTCTCAGGTAATGCCACACCAGTTATCAGAAAAATAAATTACTTTTTGCCAATTTTTTTCTCTTACGTCATCCCGAATAGTGTTTTATGTAACCTATGATCCTAAACTCTGTTCTGATCACTCCAACTTTTAGGAAAATGTCATTTTATACCGTACCAAGTTTTCAAAATTAATTTTCGCACTACTTCAACTGATCGACCTGAAAAAAAATGTATTACTCCAGTTTGGCAAGTAGCTTTAAAAGTTAGCGCATTTAATAAGGATTCTACAGTGGTATAACACTGAGTCCATTATTTCTTAGATCGGCCATAAGAATTTTTTTTGTTAAACAAAGTCTGTTTTTAACAATCTCTTTGAAATTACAACAAATGATTCTAGCGCACCCAAAACGTTCCTAATGACCACAGCGTGGTTTAAATAAGATGGAGAGAGACATTCTATAAAATGTGAGCGAGACAGATAGTGACGTTTATGACATACGGACGCAAATAAGTAAAATAGACAGTTTCTTTTTTATGATTAGATTTATTACTTTTTTTATAAAAGATGTTCAAATTGCCGTCCTTCAGCTGCAATACAGGCTCGACATCTCCTTAAAAAAGATCGTGAAATGAAGCGGGCAAATCGTCCATTATTCACAAATTCTACTGCTTCCGCTATTCTCTGTCTAAGCTCTTCTACATTTTGAATCGACTTGGAATAGACTTTTTCCTTTACTGCTCCCCAGTAAAAAAAATCAAGAGGATTTAAATCGGGTGAGCAGGCGGGCCACGAGATTGTACCACCCCGCCCTATCCATCTGTCTGGATACTCCTCGTTAAGGTGGTTTCGAACTAAGCGGCTGTAATGCGCTGGACAACCATCTTGCTGGAACCACATATCTCGTAAAATAGTAAGCGGCACGTCCTCCAGCAAATTGGGCAAATGATTTTGTAAGAAATCTAAATAAATTTCAGCATTTAAAACTTCTGGTAACTCAAAAGGCCCTATGACTTTTCCGTTCAAAATTCCAGTCCACATGTTAACTTTGAAACGGTACTGTGATCTGTCTGGTCTCATCAATCGTGGATTTTCGACGTGCCACTCGTGCAGATTGTGTAGGTTCATGTAGCCGTCTTTTTTAAAAGTTGATTCATCCGACCATACAATTTTTTCTAAGAATTGTGGGTCTTCTCGGTGTTTTTGAATTATTGTTTGGCAAAAAGCAACCCGAGGTTCATAATCTCGAGGTAATAAGGATTGTACTCGCTGTACATGAAATGGATGGAACTCATTTTTTTGTAGTATTCGGTGAGCTGTACTTTTGGGCACACCTGTGCTGGCCTGAATTCCACGTACCTAACAACTTGGGTCGTCATCAACTGCTTGAAGGACAACTGCCTCGTAGGGTAGTGAAATTCTACCTTCACCGTGCACTTGGTTTGGCAGTCGGCCCTCAGAGAACAGTAGACGGTGCACATTGGTAAAAACTCTGTGATCCGGATAGCGATCTGCATTAGGGTATCTCTCGCGATACCGTCTAGCGGCTTCACTGGCATTACATAAACATTCCCCATAAATGAGGTGCATGTTAGCATATTCCTGTGTAGTGTACGTAGCCATGGTATGGTACAAATACACAATAACACGTAAGTCCAGGGAAAAGTAAAGGTCGTCGTAGATCACAAATGTAAAATCCAAATCACAAGCAAACAAGTCCGTAAACGAAGCAAAAGTAGTTAGAACACAAAATAACACCAGCGAATACGAAAAGATGCGTAGTAAACGAAGGAGCGTTGCGTACTAACCTGTACTGCGTGTGTCAATAGCAAGAAGTAGCGTCACTATCTGTCTCGCTCACACTTTACGCCATCTTATTTAAACCACGCTGTGGTTATTAGGAACGCTTTGGGTACACTAGAATAGTTTTTTGTAATTCCAGAGAAATTTTTAAAAAACAGACTTTGTTTAACAAAAATTTTTTTTATGGCCGATCTAAGAAATAATGTTGTATTATACCACGTTAGAATCCTTATTAAATGCGCGAACTTTTAAAGCTGATTGCGAAACTGGAGTAGTACATTTTTTTTTCAGGACGATCAGATGAACTAGTGCGAAAAATTAATTTTGAAAACTTGGTACGGTTTAAAATGACATCTTCCTACAAGTTGGAGTGATCGGTACAGGGTTTAGGATCATAGGTTACATAAAGCACTATTCGGGATGACGTAAGAGAAAAAAAATTTGCAAAAAGTAAATATTTGTAACAACAGGAATGAAAAAACTGTCACATGGTGTAAATTTTCTGGAATAAAAGGAAAATTTCCATAACTTCAAAAATACATGACTTAATTTTTTTTTTTAATTTTTCTGATAACTGGTGTGGCATTACCTATGAGAAAATTTCGACTTGACGTCGACTTTTGGGACACCCTGTATACGTATTATTTTTGTATTTTTGTGACTTAAAAGTTAAATTATTTTTCCAGGTCGTGTCACAATTGGCTCGGATCCCACGTGCGACATATACGTGGTGGGTACCGGTGTTGCCAGCATTCATTGTCGTGTAGAAAACTCCCACGGGGTGGTCACACTGTACCCTGTTAGCGGTAGCACGCTGTTGGATGGGCTGCCAGTTGACAAACCGACTCGGCTATCGCAAGGTAACGTTCATTAGTCTGAAATTATTGATATAATCATAGAAATTTATAATTAACTTTATTCATGTTTCATGGTATATTCATGATATGGTCTAAGATCCGACTGCAGAATTAGTGCGCTCATCTGTTATTTGCTAAAAACCAAATTTTTATGTATATTTATAATTAGGAGAATGTATATCTGTTAGTGTTCTCAAACTGAACAGATGCGGCATTTTACATTACATTTTTTCATTTACATTTACCGTCTTCGGGTAATTCTATGAATCTTCTTTTAATTTAAATGTACTAATCAAGTACCATACACTTCCAGGCAGTATGCTGACTATAGGCAGGTCGAATTACCTACGCTTCAATCATCCCGAAGAAGCAAAGCTGATGAAGTCTGTTCTCCCTTCAGGGCATGTGTCGATGGCGCCTATACAGTTCCAACCGAACGAGCAGTGCTTGCCGGCAGGTAATTCTGAGTTCAAAATTATTTACCTTTATTATTGTATTTCAAAAAGTCATTAAACCGTTGGTGATTAAATAATTGTCTAAATTGTATTTTAATTGTATATATTCTATAATTGATTTATTATTTATTAACTCTCTGAGAGGAGAATAATTAACAATTAAAAATTAAAGGATGCATATGGATAGATAAAAATTATTCTTTTATTTCTTTTAAGTTCCATTTGTGAATATCACTCATTTGAACACTCTACTACCCTTTTTAACCGACTTCAAAATAAACGAAGGATGAGGTTTACAAATCAACATGCAAGTTTTAAAATGTATTTTGCACATTATTAAACACATACATTTGTTTAATTCCAGGATATGTTAACCATGACCCCAATCAATGTTACCAGAACACCAATCTTAATAAAATCTACAAGGACAACTCGCTCACGCAACTCGATAAAGAACTAGACATGACCCTCAAAGAAATGTCCAGAAAGAAACCACCGACCGTCCCCAAAAAGCCCTACAAAGACGACACGTCAGATTCAGAACAAGAAAGCAGACCCAAAATGGGCAGTATTATGGCTAAAGTATCGAAATTCGAATATTACGCAAAACAACATAAGATCGGTCGAAGTCAATTCTACACGAACAACGAAAATGAAATATCGCCAAAAGTCTTCAGTTCAAACTCCTTAACAGTCAACACACCCGCAAAAGACGTGTTGGGCGGTCGGAACATACCAAATTATATGTGTCAAATAAAGCAAGAACAAAAAATGATTGTTCTTAACGAAAACAATAGCTTGGACCCAAAGAATTGCTCCTACGCGAATGTTGCAATACGTAAGGCGAAAATTGATAACATGGTCCGAAATTTCGATGACACAAAGACGGAAAGAGTGAAAAAAGTCAATAATGATCAACAGAGTCGACCCGATAATCATATTTATGGTAAAATAAATGTAGATAGGCGACCGGATATTGAGAAAAATGAAAAAAAATCAGATCCATATAAAAATTACAATAGCGCTCAAAACTACCAAACAAATGAGTATAAAAGCTATCAAGACTCGTTTCACAACCAATTCAAGCAGGACCCGTACAACAGTCCCAAAATATACAACAATCTCCAAGATACCCAAAAAATCCAGGAAACATACGCCTCACAAGAACCATATAGAAATCCCCAAGAACCATACAAGAAGCCCCACGAACCCAACAAAAATACACACGAAACATACCAAAATCCCCCAGAGGCATACAAGAACCCCCAAGAAGCATACGAAAGCCCCCAAGAGTCTTACAAAAGTAACGAAGATTATAAAATCAACGAAATAGGCGTGGATGTTTCAAATGATGGTAGAAATGAATACGCACGTGTCTGTGATTTACATATTTCATCAACTTTCGATCGGAATCCTCAGTATTCACCAGTTTATTCGAATTATGGTTATGAGAGGAGCTTTGAAGCGGAGACTAAGAGAAAACAGGTATATACAATATTTATTTTATTATTATTACTACTAAAAAAAACAATGGCGCTACAACCATTTAGATCTGTGCCTCAGAGATCTGTATCTGTTTCATAATCAATTACTTTAGATTCTACATTTAGCCTTCTGTGCCTCAGATACACGCCGTCGGAACTTTGGGCCTAATGCCGCATTACATTCAGGTTTCAGTGATCAGGTATTGTAAACGCATTCGTTTAAACATGTTACCGCGTTACACTGCTTCCCTGCCCACTTCCCTGCCCACTTCCCTGCTCACTTCCCTGCTCACTACGGCTGAATGTAAAACTGGTATAAGGTATGCCGGTTTTCTCACGATGTATTCCTTCAGCGTACAAGCGAGTGAATGCACACAAAGACAGAAAGTCCATTGATGCAACTGGGGTTCGAATCTACGGCCTCAGGGATGAGAGTCGCACGCTGATGCCACTAAGCAAACAATGTTTCGAATACTTTATTAAAGTCGTGGTTTACGAAAATATATAGCATGACTTCTTGATAACTTAATTTATACTATACATAAAAAAAAAAATATTATATCTATATTTTTTAAATCTGTCAAGATAGTGAAGTACTAAGGATAGTCCGAATTCAATGCGGGGGTCGATTTATAGTTTAATTCTTGGTTAAAGTTTCATTGTATTCGGTTCAAATATACTTTATTGCTCTAAGTATTATATTCACTTAGTGAGAAATTTTAGAGTAGGTTAGTAATGTACATCGTGTTTAATTATCGTGTAATATTAGTTTATGCAACTGTCATGTAATAGAGGGTATTAAAACAAGAGTGTAGTTTTTTGAAACGAGCCGCAGGCGAGTTTCAAAATAAGATTACACAAGTGTTTTAATGCCTTATGATATGCAGTTGCATAAACTACTTTATTTAATCTCATGGATACAGTCAATTTCCAAGTCATAAAGTCTTGGTAACATTTGTCGTACGCTTTTCTTGATTTTTCTGGCAAAAAACTATTCGTCAGTTTCGTAGCTGTTTCTAGAATGTCAATTTTCAGCGGTATCGTCGGTGTTGCTTGACATTTTTGCTACTAAAGTTTTATCCAACAAAATATTACTCAAATTCGTATGTACGAAATAGCGCCAAAATGGAAAAAGTCTGTTATTGGTCTATTGGCTCGGGACCAGCGCATTGCGCTCACCACAGATTATGTGTACTTAAATTGAATTGAAACCTCCTTGGTCGGGACACATTGTACTTTAATAATTAAAAAAACATTTCAAAGCATTGTTTTGTTAGGAGAATAATGCTTAAATTTAATTTTTTAATTTTCTTAAAGAATTATGTAAATAAAATATGCCAATAAAGGTCTGTATTTCGTTTCATAATTAGAATATTAAAATTATTAAATTGTTATTAATGTACAATTCCTGTGTATTCAAAATTTATGTAAAAAAATATTATTATGTTGATGCATGAAACTCTCGTAAACATTGTCTTGTTGGATGATATCATCATTTTATCTTACTGCAAATATTTTATCTTAAATTCCAAGTCTTACAGATAGGTTTGAAGATCATTTAGCACTAGTTAGTATTTACACCTTACCTAAACAATTGTACAGTTTAATATAATGATAACTTTATTTACATCAATAACACAAAACATGATAAAAAAGGACAAATAAAATCTTACTGCTTAGAGCAGTTCCTTCTAGACAAACCAAGATATATCACCCAAATAAAACACTTTATTTTTATACGCAAAATTCTAAACCAAAGAAATCTGCTTCTACAATGTACTCTCATATTATACAAGAATTTGTTTTGTTGATAATGAAAATGCTTTCACTAAAAAGCTTTACCATTAGGCACTGTATTATTCAAAATACCTTATTGAGAGCTTCCCTTTTCCATAAACGACTGTTACGCAAAACTTGTAATGGAATTGTTCTTCTTGAAAATGTATAAAAAATGTCCGCCGCAGCAATACCACTATAACCTTTATTATAATAATTAATTCTGTTCTTTAATGATTACGTCTTAATCAACGCGTTGGTAGCTGGTAGCTTAACATAACTGTAAAATTATTGTAGGTACCTAGCTAAATGCATTTCATTTAAAAAATCATGTTAAATTGTATTGTAATAAAATAATTCTGTGAAATAATCAAATCAAACTCAAAAACAAAATAACTTTATATGGGTATACAAGTACACTTATGAACGTCAGAAAAGAAGTTAAACTAATTCTAAATTTACATTTACTGCCAGTTCGCAAGTCAAATGACATATATGTATGAAATCATACTGTCTCAATAAAGTCGATCTCAAATACGATAAGATTTAATTAAAATCAACTGCGGTAATTGTCTTGAAGGAAACAATAGCTTTATCTGATAATAAAATACGTTTTTGATAAAACTGAAGTATCATTGCGCCATTTTGTATATTTTAAAGAAGTCGTGTTAAGAAAAATCGCCAAAATTTGTGATTTATTGTGAAAATATTTGAAAAACATAACTTAGTGTGCCTTTAATAATCCATAAATTTCAATCATTTTTATCTAAAAAATATGTTCTTTGTGTTAAAATTTAATGTTGCTATTAATTCGAATGTGTCCATAAAATAACCTAAATGACTTTAATCTACTAATTTAATATTGTTCATCCGTGTGCTTAGTTTATTGTGAATTACATATAGGTAACACTATCAAATAATAACATTAAATAATAATTTTATAGTGTTACTTATATAATAATTCCTAAATCAGTCACAGATTCAAGCGTACAGTGAAAATATATTTAAAGCTCGATTAATCGAAAATTCGAATATTTTTATTAAAGTTTAAAGTGCAAAAATGACTGTCAAATCAAATACCAAAACAACCAAAAAGAGCATTGTAAAGCTCTTTTTAACTTACCTCAAGAAGAACACATTAGCTTTGAAAAAACTAACTACATCAATTGAAGAAAAACATCATGATACGACGAAAGTGATAGACATAACGAACTCCGTAAACGATAAACTCGAAATCGTCCACAAACTTAGAAACGATATAAAAATTTACAAAACAATAAATTCAATACTGACAAATCATTATATCAAAGAAACCAGAGATCATGAAACTACAATTGATACAAAAATTATCAATTTAGAAAGACAAATTAAAGATTCTTACGAGGAATTGAAAAAGGAAGTGATCAAAATGGCGGATAGTCTCGCCAGTTATAAAAATCAAATTTCAGCTCCGATTCAAAATAGTAATGTTATAATGGTCGGTAATGACCTAAATTATAAACAAATCAATGAAATACAGGCTAAAAGTGAAATATATAATACGATTATTAGGAAAATTGATAAGATGTTTTGTAATATGGTGAGTTTAATACTATGTAAATGTTTGTTTGATAAAAATACACTTCATTACATCGTTATACCAGTTGAATTGGACTGTTTTAAGTCTAAATAAAATCTTTTATGTTTTAAAACTGCAGAACAATTGCTAACACGTGACTTAGCAAGATTTGTAATGTATTCTAGTCTTATATAACCTATAAACCGGAAGTATACCACAGATGTATATAGCAAATATAAAGTAATATGTAAATACTTTTCCAGGCGTACCAAGACCGGCTGAAAGAAGAGGAACAGAAAGACGCTGAAAATGCGCGTTTAGAAGAGATTCTTAACATGTGCGCGGAGTACGAGAAACAAATATCGTCAGGTAAAAAAGATTACTCATTTTTTTTCTTATATTTTGTTATTATAGTATTGGCCAAGTGGTTTAAGCGTACGATTCTCAGCCTTAAGATTGACCTCATTTGTGTGCAAATAATCGTCAGACTTAACCTGACTTACTTGTATTTGAAAAATTATCAAAGAAATGGATTTAATCTGAGACCAGAGGGTTGTAGCGCCACTGGATTATTCTATTTCGCTACCCCACTATGAATTATTATAAGTATATAAATAAAGACTTCAGAAATTCTCTTGATTAGGCCTAGTTTTTATAATAGATAATTAGATTAACATATTTTTCATAGATAATGATATTGAGGATATACTGATACATTATCAGTCATGTTGTTCTAATGTTTTTTTTATTAGAGTCAACAAAATTCAAACAAAATGTAACGAGTATAAATATATATCAAGTCAATATTTTCATCAAACGTTTTATTTTGATCTAAATTAGTTTCAATTTAGTAGCGGACCTGTTATAGGCAAGTATGCTAGTAGACGATCAGTCTTCATTGCCTGATACATTTCGCCGGTTGCCCCACAATGATTAACATGTGTTTTCAGGGCTGCCAATAACACCGACAGAGAAGAGGTCCCACAACAAAATCATCACAAATGGTTCCCTCCCACGAAGCGCTGCCATGAACAATCCTAACTTTGTGCAAACTAGCGACGGTTATTATAAGTAAGTTATTTGATTTTTCCCAGCTTCTGATAGGCTTACTTACTGTCAAATCTCCGTTTATATTTATAAACGGAAATTATTTTAAACTAATAAATTTATTACACATAAGTAAGGAAGCGTTCAAGTATTACGTCACGCAATTTTTTGGAGATTGGCCCCCCTCCCCCCGTGTAACGCGCCGTAACGTTTTTCTGTACCCAAGTACAGTACTGTAACCAAGTATAGTAAAACGTTTCGTAACCACCTAGTGACTCTTTATACCTAAAAGTTACCATTATGTGGTGTAAAGTACTAGAAAGTCGAATAATATTAACAATAACGCGTAATTCAATCCCCGCCCCGCATCGTAACGTTTTACAAAAGGACACCCCCCTCTAAAATTCGTTACGTAATACTTGAACGTTCCCTAATATCAAAAGGATGTTAAGTTTAAAGAGAAGTGCACTAGCCAACTAGGATTCCCTGTGTCGTGCTCAGCTAGTCTCTTCTATTTGACATATTAACGGTACTTGATTTTATTGTAGGTTGTTGGTTTATTGTAAATTGTGTTGTCAAACTTGTAACCAACAAAATGTAGTAACACTTAGTTGAGTCTTTGGAATAGGATTTATTGAATACAATAAAGGAAAAATATTGCCATTCATTAATCTTAAGAATTAAAGACTAAATGGTATCTGAAGGTGTAATAAACTCCGTGAAATGTATTGAAAATTTGTTGTTTTTGTTGTTCGAAACTGTCATTAATGTATTTCCATTTAATTTCATAGGTGGAAAAATAGTCGTTAGGTTTAGCTAAAATAAATCTGTGAAACTAAATATAAAACAATTAATACGAATCTTGCTTGTCAGGAAAATGATTTCCTTTATGATTTCGTTAATTACTCATAATCGATTTTTATGGTAAATACCATAAAAGCATTCAGATTAAACCCCTTATTAGAAAAGTAAAAGATGTTAAACGTTTTTTTCCTTTTCGGCTTCGTATTACTTACCTATTATTTACTTACGTTACCTAATTGAGCTTTATATATTTGTTTATATATCATATTTATTAGCACTGGTGTATGTGTATATACTGTTTTATTCGAATGTGTCTAAATTTCTCTATTCTTGTTTTACATCATTCAGGTTTGATACTAGTCATAACAGGAATAATGTGATGAGCCAATCTCTGCCGCCACAACGCAATCTGTCGACTTACGAAAACTTTACTTCACAAGTTGATCCTTCCACCCCGGAAGTAACGATCAATGAACACTACGAAAACGTAGGACGTATGGACGAAATCGGTATCCCAGTGTTCGATGATGTCCAACTTAACCTTTCTAGTCCTCTTATGATAAGAAAACTCAACCAAAACGGCTCGCTACTTAACTCCCCGGTAGGAAGTCCATACGAAAATGTACTCAAGAACAATCTCAAGCCAAAGTCACCGAATACACAAAGTCCCAGAACAAGAATAAAAACAACATTCGCTCATAAAAACATTACATCGCCGCAATATTTCGTTTTTCCCACACCCCCGCCGAAAAACACGAATCCACTAGACGATCAAATTCAAGATAAACAAGAACAACCTGCAGAAAAACAAAACGACATCAATTTTTCGGGTATTGAAAAACAATTGAGTCTAGAAGAGGAAATACCGATGATTGACGATTCCGATTTGTCTAACGATATCGAATTTAGATATTCAAAAGTTATTAATGAAACAATACCAAAAAACAAGAGCTTCGATGACGTCAAAAAAGAGTTAATGGCCGATATTCCCGAATTAGAACAATTTGAGAAAGAGTTAAAGAATAATAGAGAAAATGTTATAAAAAATATTACTGAAGAAGTCAGGAAGATAGATTTAGAAGCAGATTCAATAGACAGCGTTTTAGAAGATAATGTTGACGAATTAAAATCAAAATACGAACGTTTGAGAGATGAAAGGAAGAAATTGATGGCTGAAATACACGATATAAAATATAAAATGACGGAAATTCGGTCGCAAGAGGATGATATTTTACGAGAGGTATGTATAAAAAAATTCACCGCTTCCGTGATTAACTTTTGTATTAATAGATGGGTTTTATGTCCGGTTAAAGAATACTAGTTACGAGTTGGAAAGCAGAGAATGCTGATCTCATATTTTCTTAAAAATACTCGGCTTGGTGTTGCTTTAGCCTCCTAAATTTTAGAAATTGATATCCATCAAAACGTTAGATTCTTTTTCATATCGTATTATCTGATCTTACTTTTTTATATAGCCTCTGCAACTATCAATATTCACCGCCTGTTGTTATGGTTCACAAAGAATAATAGCTGTTCATAATTAGAAATATATTCCCATAGGAAATAAACCTACATATTTAACGCATAAATAATCCAGTACGTGACCAACGGACGTTATGTACGCATCTTGAGTACGTTTATAAAAAATTTAATTGTTTTAGATAGCAAAGTTTGTTACTTCTAATAATTATTCTATATATGCTCAAATAATAATACTTATAATTCATCTATAGTGATTATAATAAAACGGTTCTTGCTCATTTCTTTGAAATTATATTACAGTTGGAAATGGAAAAGGCTCTAATAAAAGGCGAATACGATTCAGAAATAGCAATACTTAATATAGAACAAAAGAAAAAATCTAGTTTAAATGAGCAAGCGAGACAGATAGAGGATGAAATTAAACAAATGAAAGTGACACAAGAAGCAAGACAAAATGAGACGAAAGATCGAGTAGAGGTTGCTACTGCGAAGGTCGAAAGGTGAGTTATATTGCTTAGTAGTAAAATTCTACTACACAATTGAGATGTATTGAATAATATCGATCGGCTTCTTACATGTTTTATGTGTTATTATAAGAATGTTAGTTTTTTCAAATGGGATTCACAATTATATTAAAATAAAAATTGTCTACTATTGCGATTATATTAAGAATTATAAGTTAGTTTTTCTAGCATTACCATTTCCCCAAATATGGGTATCGACAAATAGTTTATATTCCCAGTTATTAAATTGAATTTAACTTAATTATAAATAAACGTAGTAATTACAACTGCAAACATTCAAAATTTTTTTTTTTCGCAAATCTATTATGAAAATATTCTTATAATGAACCGCTTACACATTAAAAGCAAACTTATATTTATAGGTAACGTTTATATGCCAAATCCGTTCATTTGTTTTTGATTATTGATAATCCCTTCAAATACGATTAAATATCTCAAGGCTTAGAAATTTACTACTTCATTTTTTGTCTTTATAGAATCAAAAAAGACTTAAAAGTAAACGCAGCGACACTCGAAGAACTACAAAACGCGCAAGATATTCTTGATAACGAGACGAAGATATTCGAAGATTTGGAATTCCAGCATTTAGAGGAAGAATCTGAACTGTAAGTTTATTACACCTTTGGTATTATAGTATATAGTTTTAAAGCTCCCAACTCCCAAATTTCTATAAAACTCTTGTTAAAGGTAATATAAATATTTAAAAAAATATATCTTTATAGGTTATCTAACAGAGAAGACCTTCAAAACGAAATAATGCTGCTTAGTAAAAAGATCGATGCCCAAAAAACGAGAATACTAACTCTAAAGTCTGAAGCTAACAACAATTTAACATCTGCGCTCGAAGAAACCAAAATTCTTCAAGCTGAATACGTTAGATTACTCAATCAAGTTGAGGAGCTAACTTCGAAAGTACAAAATGTAGAAAAGGAATTGAAACCTATAGTATCCAAATTGAATTATATTGAAAGAACTCAATCACCTGATAGTGCCTTCTATACTGATCAGACCAGAGCCAAATCGGGCGAATACGGGTATTCCCCAAGTTCTGATAGCGATGACAATGATGTGAGCAAAATTTCAAACTTCGAAGACCACACAAAACAATTGACTGACAAGTTTAACTCTATTGATCGAATGTCACAGTCCATGATAGTAGATATCGAACGACGCGTCACTGACATTGATCCAATAGACCCTGACAAACTCGAGAGTCCTTCTAAGTCTTCCACTTCGAAAGAGAAGAAAGGATTTTGGGAGCGCAACTTCGATTCTCTCAAACGAAAGAATAGTAAGAAAAAAGATAAAGTCGACGTCATGTCGCAGAGTCTAAACGAAAATCTATTTTATAACGACAACATTGAAGTAGACATGTTGGACAAATTCAATAGTTTAAGACACTCTAAAAAGAAAAAAGAAAACGTACCGCTGAAAAGTAATTCATCGTCCAAAATACCGACATTTGCGGCCCTAGGAAAAATAATAAAAAAGGATTCGTTAAAAAGAAAAGAATCGAGGAAAGAAGAAGAAAATGAAAATAGAAACAGATACATTAAAAATGCAAAGCCGCAAACAGACAACAAATATGTGAAAGCTAAATCTTTATCACCGGATAAGACGAAAGAATCTATCAAAGAAGAGAATGAAGATGAAGTGAAACACAACACTTTAGACTTCAGAAAAATTGATAAGGATAAGGTGTTGCATAGAAAGAGCTGTGGTGATGAACCGAACGTGAGAAACGATTTTCAAAAGATTACTGATTCTGGGAAAATTCCATCGCAAGATGACATTGACAGAATCTCTAAAGTTACTACGGATGCTCCAATATTTTCTAGCGACACTGATATGAATTCTTTGGGTAAAAAGACATTTGACAGTTTGATGGAAATTGAAAGGAAACGGATTGAAATGTTGGAGGAACAAGGTGAGTAATGCATTCTCTTCTAGCACATACTATAATTGTCTCAAATTAAAGTAGATTGTAATATTATATTTTACGCAAAATATTGTGTTCAAGTTCCCTTGTAAATGATTACATACAATCATTTTTATTTTGTGCAGGATGTCAAGTTATAGAAAACGAACGAGAGAAGATTGAAGAATTAAAACGAAAAGCTCAAGACGAAACGAAAAAACTGTGGCACGAGCGAAATAGCGCGAAGACACCGGAAAGGGACAGCTGTCAGACGCCAAGTGATGTTGACAGACGCCAGCTGTCAGGTGATTTTGACAGTTTGCGTGATGATGTCAAATACTACGGGAGCGTGGTAGAAGATACATCCACAGATGTTTTCAATACTACCAATTCAACACTTTTTGAAGAAAGGTGAGAAAAAATTATATTTAAAAATAAAATAATACAATTTTCTGCCCTAAGGCTTCGAGTGTTTTAGACACATGTTTACAGGTTAACGAGTTTCTTAAGGTGTTTTTGCTTATTTTCGAATTATTCTATAAGTCGTTAATTAGTAATAATATTATAATTATTATAGTATAATATATATAGTATAATTATCTCGGACCTTTTATGAAAGAAAAAGTATCAAGTTTTTCAAAGTCAGTTCACCGAAAATTAAAAAATGATTCTTAAGTGTACATATATAAGTATCAATCTGTTACTCCAATAAAAGCAAACCTTTGCTTAGTGCAGCTCTAAATCCCAGACGAGTAAATAATGAAATAGCCTTCTAATTTAAAGTGATTGTAATTGTCAATGCAGCAATGAAAATTGAACCTTATCGTATGTACATACAGTTCACATTCTTCTTCTAATAACGTGGACAATTACTTGTGTGCTAAGAATTCATTTGGGTAATTCTTATCTGCCAGTTTATATCCCCAAGTTATGTCTGCTACTGAAATACCAAGATCATTATTAAGATTATCACTATTACTTTAAAACTTATATATGCAAAGGATATTTTACATCTTATATATTATGTAAAAATTAATTTCCGTTCGTTTGTCAAGCTAAAACTCGAGAATGGCTGGACCGATTTGATTAATTATGATCTTGAAATATTTGTGGAAGTTCAGGGAATGTTTACGATGGGAAACATGAATAATATGTATAGGAAAATACCAGACAATTGAATTTTCCGATTAAAACTTTTCCTAGATGAGAAATATTTGATATCTTCTGCCTTTTTGGAAATGTGTTCTCTTAAAACAAAAATTCAAAAGTGTTCTCTATGTCATATTTATAAATGCCTCCAGAAATTTGACGACTCATTGGTCTAGTGGTTAGTACCTCTGACTGCGAATCCATGGGTCCCGGGTTCGATCCCCGGCTGAGACGAACATCGATGTGATCAGTATTTGGTGTTGTGCTTAGGTCTTGGGTGTTTAAATATGTATTTATATGTCTATCTATCTATAATATGTATGTATATCCGTTGCCTAGTACCCATAACACAAGCTTCACCAGCTTAGCATGGGACTAGGTCAATTGGTGTGAATTGTCATAAAAAAAAAATTGTATTTCCTAACTGTAATATGAGGTCCGATATCTTGGGTCTGTTTTATAAATGTTTTATTAAGGTTTGACACAAATATCACCGGGTCATCTAGTATAATGTAATTTTGTATTACTCGACGTGTAAAGCGAGAGTGAGTTGACCTTATGTCCCTTTCAAAGCGTCAATAGTTAAGTGGCCAGAATGAAAGTCTACGTTTGTATTTCTTAAAATATATTTCGTGTACATAAATCAATACGTACAAACTAGGCTGTGTTTATTCAGTGGTTGATAAGATAAACGCTATCAGTACAGTCGCGAATTTGTCACAGTAAACACGTTAGTTCAGTGAGTGAAAAATATCTATGTTTAACAAAAATATCTTAGTGGTTTTATCAATAGATGTCCGTTTTAGAAACAAATTCTTCAAGAGACTTACATAAATTCTAATACGTGAATAAAAAAAGGACAAACTTCCATATAAATAACAATTAGTTCCTATAGAAAATAAGATAAGGAATTAATTAGAAATAATTGGAAATTCCTTAATTTATTATTTAATCTCCTTTGGAATGTTAACGTCACAACGGAGTCGAGTCTTTGTTCTATTTCATTTGTGTAACAATGAAACTTGACAGTCATATAAAACAAAATTTTAACCTAAAAACTCATGAATGGAAAAACTAAATATTTATATGACGAATTTAATTTTTGTGGTTAATTAGTAGTTCACGTGTCACGTGACCATACAAATTCTTTTGGCGTCAGACTCACTCAAGTGACAACACGTTTGTTGTGCCCTTTGAGTACTATGTTTTTCGTTAGTCGTATTTGAATACAGGAAAGGGAATGTCTAAATGATAGCCGTAATTAAATGTTAAATATTAAAACTATACCGTGAAACAATTGATCAAAGTTCAAACCTTCACCGTTCGACCTCGGCCATGACCGGTTTGATAACAAAGGAAATCTTAGAATTACATCTTAAAAAATTTAATCGCAAATTCATATTAAAACGTTTATATGCAAAAAACTAAATACAGTAAGACGTAGATAAGACAAATTAATTGACTAGAAATAAATTTTCTCATCTAATTTTTAATTATATGTTTACATAATAGGTACTACATATTAAAAATTAACATGGATTTCGATTGTTTTCTAGTCTTAATTTGGCAAAAAAGACGTCATTAATTCTGGAATCCACACAGATGATGATTTATGAATTACAAACTCACAGATGATTCATGAATTTGTAAAGAAGATTTATATAGATAATCAAATAACATATTAATGCTTGTCCTATATTAGTAGAATGATTATAAGTTTGCTATGGAGAGTGTTCTTCACTACCGCACGAGCCAAAAAGTTTTCCTTAGCCCGCTTCTGTAGGCATTTCCTTTCGCGATGTTTGTCTTCCCTAGGAGATATTCGCCTATTTAAAAAAGAGCATATTCCTAAAAGACCGTCAACGCACCCATCCCATGTGGGTTATAGCTGCAACTACGTATTTAATACATTGAAAATTTTATTATAACGCATTATCTAGTTAAATACAGTTTAAAATATCACAAAAAATATTTCTATATAATTAAAGAAAATTGACATTTTTTATTTTAAAATGTTGACTATGCTAACTCCAGGGTGTCGGTTTTTTGTGACGGTGTGCGGGTGTCGGTTTTTGTGATGGTGTGCGCGCGCATTGTAAAAATTTACTCTCATCATTTTTCCCTAACGCGCCAATAGAAGTATAACTTCAAAAACGTCTAGACTGATATCTCTCTAAGAAAAATCAGCTTTAGACTAAACAATTTAGTACGCCCCGATAACCTATTTAACAAAAGTCACGTTCGAACTTCAAAATATTTATAAATTAAACCACGCTAAATGAGGCCCTAATTCCCTTGTGATTGCTACTAAATTTCCGTGCAATGATTATTTATTAATGACAACAGTAGGTAACATATGACAATTACGATACATAGGATTCAAGCGGCCGTTTACAATAATTTTTGAATACAGGGAGTGCGGAAATATTACTTTGAAATCAATAATATGTAACGGTCTTTAAGGCCATCAACTTCTCACCACGCATGAGTATAACTACTACATAAAACTTTTTTATATTTCTTTTTAATTAAACTTGCAACGTGCGACTCTCATCCCTGGGGTTCCCATTCGATCCCCGGCTGCACCAATGGCTTTCCTGTTTATGTGCGCATTTACCACTCGCTCGAGAGAGAGACCCAGACCCCAAAAAGCTGACGGCGTGTGTCAGCATAGAAGGTTGATCACCTACGTTGTTAAGAAAAATAAATTATCAAGAAACAGATACAGAAATCTGAGGCCCAGACCTGAAAAGGTTGTAGCGCCATTGGTTTATATAATAAATGAATAAGTTATTTGAAATCACTAATGACATTTACCTAATATAATATATAAAATACTCGTGTCACAATGTTTGTTCCCATACTCCTCCGAAACGGCTCGAGCGATTCTTATGAAATGTTTTATGCATATTCAGTAAGTCTGAGAATCGGCTACTATCTATCTTTCAAACCCCTAAATGATAAGAGGTATCAACCCCAATTTTTTTTTTATGTTATAGTTTTATTTTTTTTATGAAATACATACAACCCCTAATTTTCACCCTTCTACGATCAACCCCTATTTTTTGATTATTGTAGATAGTTATTTTTATTGAACTAAAAAAATGTTTCCAATAAATAATATGCATGGCAAAACAAACGTTTCCCGGGTCAGCCAGTATATTTATAAATATTTTCTATATAAAACGCTTCAGAACACCGCGTATAAACACTGCATATTACGCACTTCCTTCTGACAATTGAGTCAACAGATGTTTTCGATCCGTGCGATACACAATGTCGTTTGTAATTTCGTGATGAGTGATAAAGCGCAAGTAACAACTTTTCATACTACATATTGTATTATTATTTAACTCTTACACATTTCACGGATTCCGAGAGGCAAAAACATTTCTTTGTGACTCGATTTTTATAGCAATTCTAGTGGGTATAGTTAGGTTTGGGTTTAAAAAAATGTTTAGTTTTTTGACAAGCTGTCTATGTATCTGATACTTTGTTATTGCAATCCATCCTGTCTTATGGAAGCCACAAATGTCACCTGCAGCTCGCTATCCAAAATCCATTACATATAAAAGCAAATAAAAAATATATAATTCTCTATATTATTTCATTTTCTACTGGATTTTATTGTAAAATTTCAACTTACATTGCTGCAGATAATCTGAAAAAGATTTGTTGAAAATTTATTGAAAACAGCTGCTAGTAATAAAATGGTATAGGAATAAAGTGTAATAAAAAATGTGGTTAAATTATTAAGTGGTGTATGAGTCAATTGGAGTATAAACAATAATGGAGAAAAAGAAAGGCTCTTCATTGAATTGTTGGTAAGTTAAATGACAAAGTGCGTCTCACCTTAGTTGTCCCCTTAAAATCGTTTTGGTTTGGAATACACTGAGTGCGTGTGTACGTAATCTAACACTATATACCTACTAATGTATGTTGGTGACAAATATCTTGAAAAATTATAAATTAATAATCTGAAATAAATTTTAAAAAAATATATTTTTGTTTCAGCTCTGGCTTCTTGTCATCCTCCATAGAAGAGGTAAGTTATTTTACCTAGTTTTTAAGTTTAAAAATCAAAATACGTTCATTCAATTTAGATGCGTCTTAGGGCATGCTTATGAATGTCAAAAACGTTTACAAAATTCCCGAAAGAGCAAGACTACGCCATCCGTTCGCAAAACTACCAGGAGGCCTTGTTCTGAGAAGAACGGGCAAGAATCTCAGCAAGTTTTACCCTCCCTCTACATTACAATTATTCAAAGGAAAATGTCATAAACCACAACGTCATTAAAGTTACATACGTAAAAAAAAAATCTGTTCTGTGATTTACCACATTCACCATTACACACAAATCAAATTATAAGTATATAAATAGAATTATTGCCAAGCGTTTTTATCTTCCAGGTAGTCATTGACTGTGTAGTAACCTTTACACATTAAGGTTTTAAAACTATTGAAGTTTTAGAACTATTATACTATCTTATATACAAATTCGTTTCCCGAACTTTGATACCTCTAAGCATTTCTGTTGATCGCAAAGAATGTCGCGCGGGCAATAAAAATATTTATTTATTAATTGACCACATCATATATACGTATATTGCGTTTTCTGTAGTATATGTTAAAAGCTATCTTTTCTAAAATATCTGACAATTATGCTGAACATAAATTTTGCAAAAAATTTAAATATTAATAAAAATTTTATACTTCCAATTTTAGTTATCACTAGTATTTTTTTCCACACCACATAAGCGCTTAAGAATGTTTTCTTACATTGATCAGCCCACTACCGAATGTATCAAGCTCTGGATAAATAGTGTTAATTAATTTTAAACTATTGTGCCTTTTGTACGCAATTTAAAATTAAGAGATATAGGTACTTGCAATTATTTATTTTCATGAAGAATCATTAAGTTTGTTTATATTTCCACTACCTTCAGTACGTGTGGCCTAGTATAAATAGCAACATTTAAGGAAATGTCTCGTAAAGGAAACAGCTACCGCGTCCTGACACTTTGTAAATGGTGGCAGGATGTGGCCGGAATTATCTAATTTCGTCCTCATTAAAAACATTGAATTCTTTTATACCTTTTTAGTTTAAAGATTCGGGATTTTTTACGTTAAGCTGGAAGCTTAAATTGAATAGCTTAGATTAGCTGCATTTATTGTTATCGTTTTCGTGTGTTATGAGATGCTTACGTTTACGTAACATTACGTTTTCGAATACAGTACTTTTAAGCTTAAATAAATAGTTTCAATTGGTGCAATTGCTTGAATTTTTTTGTTGTAGGAATCCTCGAAAATGCATTTCGTTTTCAAGCATAGATAATGTGTGGGTAGTATGTGTAAAAAAGTAAATAATTACTGTTGACGTAATCACCCTTAAAATCCAAATCCCCACCCCTATAATGCTTACGTAATACTGAAACGGCCCCTAATTCAAAATCAAATTCTCAATAGTATACTATTGTCAATTATATATAATAACCGTATTTTCCTGTTATTACAATTTCGAGTACCATACTAAAATTACATCGAAATTAGATTTCGTTGTTAGATGACTTCATTATGGTTTTTCGAGTGCCAATGGCAGATAATTATGACCAAGTTATTTGTCAATCATTAAATCGTTTTACAGGGTAGCGTGTTAGTGCCCATTCTATTTAACAGTTTGAACAATGTCCCAAATTATACCTATTAATGTATGTATGCATGATAACCATATCCGATTAATTATTCTAACATTTTTACCTATCCTACTTGTTAGAATTCTATTACCGGCGCAATAAACACCTTTATCTTATCACTATCACATATTTGAGGAACCGCCTCACTTCATGATAATTAACATTTTCAATGTGTCCTCTACGACTATAATATGGCGCTTACGATAAATATGACAGTGCTGGGAGCCCTCCAATTAAGGGTATAAAGGCATAATTTAGGGCCAAGTGTGTGTTGATGTTGGCAATTGCGCCCACAGTAAAATCACAAACGAATGGTATTGTATATCATTAATTCCATATGGTCAAATACATTAAGGAAATAGATTAGCAAACATTAGCCAAGGCAAGACTTGTGTAATGTGTACGGCTTTAGTCTATGAACATCGATTGATATGATTTGTATGTAATATTTATATTTTATAAAAAAATACTTACATACTAGCTAGCTACAGCTAGTCTTACCTACTATAACCGACGTATATAATAAGCTTTACAAAGAGAATTGTCAGATTGGCTAGCTAATAAAGAAAAGTTATAACAATATTTTATTTGCATACGTCAATGGAATGCCGAGAGATTTTGCAAAATTTTAATCTTAATATTTTTAGAATGCCAACGCACTCACATTAATAGCTGTAATAACAGAACCATTAAGAATTTCAAATCCGTACATAAACACAATGTTTGTTCCGCCCACAGTGTCAAAAATTTTAATGCTAATCTGTGCGTGCTCAACAACGATTTGTGGTATGATTGAAGATTATAAAAATATAAAGCACACCTAAAGATATTCGGCCATACAATGTGCAGAGGCGAATAGAACTTTGAGAAACAGATCGTGGTTGGTAGCACAGAAGGCAAAAAGATCACGTGACCAACCAGATGGACCGATAAAGTTGAAGACTCATCGTCCTCAAAACTGTACACTGTCATAAGAGACGCGCTGGATCGATACCGGTGGAAATAGATAGTCCGCTCCAGACACTTTCTTGCTGACCACGACGCTCAGACATGAGCTGCTGTAAAAAAGTAAATAATCACTGTTGACGTAATCACCAAATAAGAATCAAAGACAACACCATCTCAAAACCCCCCAAAGTGCTTACGTAATACTTGAACGGCCCCTAAAGAATAATTAAAAAATTTCAATTTATTATATTCTGATCATCTGTTCAAATTTAGGAACAATAATTGCATAAATACGTTTTCTTGAAGTAAAAATTAATGTTGATTCTCTAGGTCAAGACATTCCTCACTCCGTCACTTTCCAGCAAATATTCTATTCAAATAGTCGAGCTAAGTAGTGTGGATTGCAAAAGCTGCCGGGTTCAATAGCGATACCTACAATCTTTCGGACTTAAAAGTTTTAACACCACCGACATTACTGACTAGCGCGGTACATTAACCGCGTTTGTAAAAAACTTCCAGTACCACCTCAGCAAGACGGTTCACCAATGTGAATCTAAAGGGAGAATCCTCGACCCTAACCTATGACTGGCCGAGCCAAAGGTCCAAAAGGAAAGATCGAGAAGTGGTATATATCCTTAGCGGTCGGCTTAATTTTTTGGCGCATCGTCGCAGTAATTGCCTCGGATTGTCGCTACAGGTTCTACCGAGGCATACCTATAGTAATTCATTTCCTCGCCTCTAAATGGGATAGCTTTATCTTAGGTCTTCCACAGATTTCTGATTTCAGAACCGATTGATTGTTTTATTTACAGTCTACTAAGAAATTTCTGGGTGTAAGACATGCCGGCTTTTTTTAAATTTTCCTTATGGAAGCTAGAATTAATTGCGTATTTAGATGGAAAGGTCTATCGATGCCCAACCAGGTTTGACCTCAGAGTTAAAAATCGTACGCTAAGGCACTAGGCTAAACGATTATACATAGTACTAATTTCCAAACGTTTAAAACAAATCGCGAGTATGGGAGTGACAGCTGGTTCAAAATAAACGAATTTAAATTTATCCTCAAAAATGTTAGTTTGTTTCTGGACACATGCCGCGTGACTTGTGCGCGTCGAATCGTATTTTGGCGGGAACGTCGTAGTTGGCAGTGTAATTTTTTTCGTTTATTTCTCGGAGTGTCACAGTTAAATTAAATATTAATGAAGTTTTTTAATACATAATCGTGTGATGGGTTGTTGCGAATGTTTAGGCGAAAAAAGATTTTTTAATACTATTTATTATGAAAGTACAATCATTACCGAATGAAATCATTTATGTTATTTATAAAGATATATCTTTTATATACATAACATATACAGTCAAAACCGTTTACGACGACATCGGTTAGAAAAACAAACCGGTTATATTGACCAAAATCAAAGGTCCCGGCTGAATTCTATTGTATTAGGTACTTAATATGACGTCAACGGCTGTTACGACTATTGGTTTTTACGACCAAATATGTACTCATATTTGTCGAGTCCCTTCGATGTCGTTATAACAGATTTTGACTGTAGTTCAAATTCCCGGAACATAAAAACTCATTATGATGTCTAATGAAAAATATTTTTTTATAAATATCCGTTATAAATTAACGGTATTATATCGGCCTACACATATATTATGCAATCCATGGCCGTTTCACCCAGTTCAATATTTGCTAAACACGTGCTTTCTGTTTACAGAAATGTCAAACAATACATTACTGACATGCGTCATAAAATTTATGTTGACATTCATTAATACAATCCCGCGGTTTGTACTTGAATGTAAGGACAAATATTGTGCTTCTGATACATGACTTCACTCACATATTTTTCTTTCATTTTTAGTTGTATTAAAACTCCTTTCACAAACACAGAACACTAGAACCTCGATAACTTAAACCTCGGTAACATAAAAACCTCTGTTACTTCAAAAAATACTATGTTCCCTTCCCATCAGAGCCCAAAACCTCTATAACTTAAAATACGCAACCTCTATAACTTAAATAAATAATCTCTGTATAGGCCCTCAGTAACTAAAAGAAATGTTTCCACAACCTCTATAACATAAAATTGTTTGTGAATGAGTCATTTTGAAAGAGTGTCAAAATAAATGGTTTCGGTATTTATTGCTTGCACGTGTTTACTAATGTATTGTTAACGTAAACAATACATTACCTATTGTTTGCTTTATCTAAATTCTTCAAAGCTTTGCGGCGGTTAGCTTTGTGACAACGACTTACTTGCATCATAAGTTTTTGATCGTTGTCCTGGAAGTAATGTGAATAAATATGATTACATATTTAATTTTCAGTATTTTATTGAACCCATCCTTCTGATGCATTCGAGTAAAAATGGGAGCAAGGGTACATAGAAACATA